AGACAAGTAAGCCTAGCGGACCCAGCCCAACCCCCGAGATTGATCAGCTACTATCGATCATTTAAAAAATGTGATATGCAGTCAAATTTCCCAGTGTGTATGCCACTTAAACGAGTGTTCATATCGACGCGGTTGTAGTGCTTTGTGGAGCACAGCCCCCCTCCCCTTTCACCCAACACGGACACACACAGCACCCCCAACCGAAAACATCTTCCCGCGCCCCTGCCTCCATGTATAAATTTCAACAGTAAACCTCAGTTTGTTTGCCAAAAAATAAAAGGGTTTAATTTTCATTTGATTTAAAATAACTGTTTAATGCCTTCATTTGATTTTCAGAAAAATTAAAACAAGAATTTCTGAGGGGGAAAAAAAAAAAAGAAAGAAAAAGTTTGTAGGGCCCTATTGTTCAAAATGTTGAAATAGAGACTTTTGGACTGAAATAAATGTTTTTGTAATTACAGAGACTATTCATGTCCTCACCCCGTTCTCCGAGTGCAGATCCACCTCTCCAGCGCACTGCATGGAGCGAAAGAAATCACGGAAGCGCTCGTTGATCTGCTCCACCAGCAGCTTCAGAGGATTCAGCCAGCGCTCTTTGGCCTAACACACACACACACACACACGTCTGTTAACTCTGTCTGTATGATGAAGGTGTTGGGGTTTGTCAGACGCACCTCAGCGATGTTTTGTCTGTAGGTTCTCAGAGCATTGGTCTTGTCGTCCAGCTCCTTCTCCATGTTCTGAATCTCCCGCTCACGTCTGTTATATTCCTCCACCACCTGACAGTCACAACCACAGCACATGACACAGGAACTGACTGTACGCTGAGCTCTGCTACTAACTGCGTCACACTTTCCAGACGACATTTAGAATGAGAAACTGGACAATGATCTGAGGTTTGCTTGAAAATCGCACAGCGACTGACTGAATGCAGTGGTTTGTCAGTGGTCAATTCTGAGAACTAGAAACTGAGATGGCTAATATAATGCCAATGAATGTAATTGTGTAATTGAGAATGGAAATTTAATTACAGCTCATGATTTTCACGATGCAGAAAAGGCTAATGGAACCGCAGAATCGAGTCATAAAAATGGAATTTACTGTGTAATGCGGAATGTCACCGAATTTTTCAAATTTTGCACAAATAAATAGAATGGGTTATCGACCAGTGTCTGTGAATAAGGCACATTTTATCACATTTTCGTAACACAATAACTGCTGCAGCTTTTATCAATTGAATCAAGTTGCAATAACCTGAAGAGATAGTTCAACCAAAAATGAAAATTCTGTCGTCACTTAATCTTATGTTTTTCCATACCTATATAAGTTTGTTTCTTCTGTTGAGCACAAAAGAATGTATTTTAAGAGTGTTGGTAACCAAACAGTTGCTGATAGCCATTGATTTCCATACAATTGCAAAAAAATACTGTGGCAGTCAATGGCTACCGTCAACTGTTTGGTTACCAACACTCTTCAAAGTATCTTCTTTTGTGTTCAACAGAAGATTATTTAAATTATGATTCAATTATTTAAAGGGGTCCTATTATGCTCTTTTACAATGTTTTGAATTAGTTTTGGGGGTGTACTAGAACATGCTCTCATGCTTGGTGGTTCGAAAAACACATTATTTTTTACATAATTTACATTATTACAATACCTTTCTCCCCAGCCTGGCACAAACGGCTCTATTAGTTCCGGGTTTGATGAAGGCCCGCCTTCCGAAAAACGAAATGTGATGTGATTGGTTAGCTGTCCCAGTGCGTTGTGATTGGCGAACAGCTTAGACGGTGTTTCAGTACTGC